GTTTTCAACTTTTCTCTTTTCCCCCAATGCTATCTGCACATGCTCTCCCTCTCTCTTCCTCTCCCGCTCTCCCTCTCCCTCTCTCTCTCACACACACACACACACAGCCAAAAATGCCACCAAGAGAAACCCCCTCTCTCAGTCTGCAGCCTACTGATGTGTTCAGTTGTTGAATAGGAGCTGTTGGCAGTCCATCTACCCTACACCAGCCTGGCCTTCACACAAGCTGACATTCGTTTCAGTAAACACAATTTGTCCTTTGTTTTAGTTTCCCTTTGCATTCACTGCACTTCCTTGTTTTATATGCAAAATATTATTGAAATGAAAAGGAACATGGTAAATAAATATCCAGCGCTGTGCTCAAACTGCCAACAGCTGTGTTTTTTACCCTAACTTTGTAACCATGACTAAAACGGATCCTCTTTTTCAAACATCATGATGACTACAATAAATACTATTCCGAGTTTACATCTAACATGAAATGTTGAGCCTTCTTTGCTTCCTACCTCACTTTGTTTTCATGCCAGTTACATTGTAAGAAAGCTGGCAGGCTTATAATACACGTCAAAAGGTCAGAGCTGGATGTCTGTGTGTGAGTAAATCTCTGTAAGTGACTGACTGTGTGGTGGAGAGCACCATGGCTAATGCTCTGTGCCAGTTTTAACCTAAGAATAGTCATAGCCCGCTGCTTTCAATAGAGATAAGGGTGGGTACTTGCAGCTGTTGCAGATAAAGAGCGAGATGAGTAAAGAGCAAAAGACCTGAAAGTGTTCACCAAGGAGTTTACCAAACTGTGCTACACAGCGGAGGCAGGTGCATGTTCAAAAAGTTCATGTGTTTTCCAGCTACATTGGAAAGTGTTTGTAGCTGTTTAGAACAGCCACACTCAAAGAGGTGGTGAAAAGCCAGCTGTCATAGAATAATTAGAATAATGTCGCACACTGTCAGTCGCCCCTGTTAGGCAGTCAGTTGTGCACAAATGTATCAGAAGCAGTAGTGTAAAGAATGACCATCATTTACTGTTTTATAAAATTCTCTACAAAGTGTATAGGAAGGGGGTTGCACACACCGGTCTGACCAACCGCACACCGCAACCACATGCAGTTTACCTGTAAAAGCAATGTGTTTCTGTGCTTTTTATGACTTTTGTCCACAGTGAGACATCTACATTTCTTCTTCTCTTTAGGTCAACAACAACACAACTGTCCATGGCAGCCAATGCTGTGCCCCTGTGTTGCTGTCAGTCAGCAGTAATACTGTTTTCATACATCCAAACTCACAATTTAGTTGTTTTCACTTGGGTGTATTTTGGCGCAGG